AATTTCCGGGAAGGAATCTCTGATAGGCTAGCTGTTGGAATCATGCCCGACAAGTTGCGCTACCATCGGACAAACTATCAATTGGAAGTCAAAACAAAAGCAGAGACCAGTCATTTGTGCGTTGGCAGAATGTTTTGGTTGCGCCAAGAGTTGAAAGAAGGCTATGGTTTTGACAAGTACATATCAAAAAGGAAACAGATTTCTAAATATTATCCTTCCGCTTGGTCGTGTGAATTATTTTTGCAAACAATTGTCAAATGTTGAATATCACAAGACTACAAATTATCTTGCTTGCTAATGTAAGAGGAGAAAAAAAGTCTTCTTAATGTGAAAAAGAAAAAAAGAGTTTCATGTATTCAACATATTGATCGAAAGGATGCCCCTTAATATGATTATCGTGTTACAACAGTTCATCACAATTTCACAACATTGAAATACAACGAAAGTGTCCTAATTTAGGGTGCCCCATCATAGGTACCTTGCCCGCACATTACTTAGAAATGTCCGTGGTTGCTTTAAGTTCTATGGACATGATAAACAATGACGATAAGGCTTTTCTTTAGTAAAGTCGTATTGTGATTATGTAATGCGCGCTTGTTTCTAACATATTACATTATGTCTATTTGTGATAAAATTTCCCAATATTTGCGGTAACGTCATGCAGAACTAAGAAAACACTAGGATAGTTTTGTCAAACGGTTAATTGTTACATTATTAATTTATCATGTGTAATTATTATCACGTGACTACACATAAAAATGCAGCTAACTAAAAAAGTGGACGAAAGTTGACTTTCATTGAAGTAGGCCGGCGTCTCATAAACAGGATTGGAAGGTGTAAAGTTTCATATTAAATACTAAAGATGGCTTTTTGCTAGGGGTTTAGATATATTCGTATTGATCAGAATGCGGGTATACAAGATTCTGCACATAGCCCGTCTGCTTTTTTGGAGCGAATTACTAAACAAAAAATAACTTTCTTTCGCTAGCCCGTTGCAAGATATACGACTTGTTTACTAGGTCATAGCCTAACACGCATTAGGCACTTCGAGCAAAATAAATTGTGTTTAAGGGATGCAATACGTATGAGTTCTTTGTCAAGTAGTAATAAAGTTTTCGATATAATAATTAAATGTGGCTTTATCGGCAATTCGATAATTTCATTGATGCATTTCACCATGAATTAATATTATATAAAGTATTAATAAAATTGCATTTAATCTTTGACAAAGACTTTTTATTATAAACGTTTTTGCTGTGAACATTTTATTTATACTATCAAACACGCACCTTCTTCTGTTTGAACTGCTTTGCATCTGTAGATTGACTTTATTGGTCCTAATGTATTCCAATATTTAACAGAGTTTTCATTGTCTCATTTACGTACGCAAGGTTCATTAATAAAAACTTTTTTCATTCTGCAGCGACTCTGTTGTGGAACAAAAAATTCTATTTGCAGTCCTAGCGGGAGCGTCTTTCCTTACCTAATGAAAACAAAATACTAACTTTAGAGCATTAATTTTAATAGTTTTTATGTAATTGACACAAGCGTGATTTTAATTCTTTCAAGGATTAACTAATAAAGGCTAGTACGTTTTTGCATCGGAAAATTGTTCTACATCAAGCTGCAAGTATTGACTACATTTTTTATCTACGCATGTTGTGCCTCAGTAACTACCGAGTTCAGAACTGAGACAGGGGTCTCAATACTCAGACACGGTATCTCATGGAAATTATACAATAAAGGTAAAACTGTAAATAATCCGTTTACATCAATACTTTATGATATTTTAATTGATACCAATACATCAAGAATAAATTTCTTGAATTATCCAATAAGAGTGTGAAATTTACTAGTTTATGTCAATTATTAGAGTAAAGTTGCGTTACTTTACCGGATGAACAATAAATTGGCAAAAATAATGAGTAGATTTACAAGAGACACAAAAGAGTCACTGCCATATACATAATATATTCCAATTTAAAAGCCCCAATAATTCATCAATCAAGTTACATTCTTTGAAGATTACTTGTAGGGACAGGTGACATATAGGATTGTTATGGTTTCTAAAAATTGTACCAGAATCATCACCGGTTCTGTAGTATGAAATATAATTAGACAAAAAAAGAGGGGGTTAGTGTAATCGCTATTGATGCAAGTTACTACTTAATTCTTTCCTAATAAACTAATCAATTAAGATATTATAGTCATAAATAAGGGTAATTCAAGGAGCAATGATATTACACATAAACGAATGAACCTTAAAAATTTATTTACGAGATGATCAACATCTTCAAACAGGAAAAGTAAATAGCAAACACAGACATTTCCACGTTATCCTGTTTAAGTAATAACAAAGCAAAAGTGAATAGCGCCAAATATTGTTGGGCGCATGTATGTATGTGTAGGTGGTGATGTCCATTTAAACTAATTATAGTGTGATAATCACCCTAAACAAAACGGGAGTTCGTGACATCATAAATTTTATTAACAGTAATATACCTTATTTTACTGTGGCCAACCAGATTCGTACCAAACGAGTCATCTCATACTGCAACTCTCGGAAAATGCGGAGATGACCAACGTATTTTCTTAATAGAGCTAGGCGTTTACGCCATCAATTGAAAACAAAGAAATCGATTGCATGACTATTTATTTGTTTGGATTCCAACTGTCTAACCATATTAACAGCCCATCTTACCGCTAGGGATATGAGTTGGTGTTACTATCGGGAAAAGCACCAAATCTATTGTTCAGTCAGGGGCTATGTAGTATTGCTATCTATACATCTCTCGATAATGTCAGTTCTATAGGCAAGTTTTAAAAATAGCCTCCATTCTTTAAACGATTCTGGTGACAGCCAAAATGGTCTAGATGGTTCATTCCTCCTTTCTCTCCCTTATTCCTTAAGTTGTGTGGCTGTTTTACGAGCCGGCTATTGTCATTCCGATTTCGGAATCAACTGACAAGGCGCACAAGTTGTTGTTATTATTATTATTATTATTATTATTATTACTATTATTATTATTTAGAGATTAATATATTCAGATAGACAATTGGAAAAAGTATTTGTCTTGGCTCCCCCCCCTCCCTTCTCCTCCCCCTTTTCCGTATGAGAGGGTGAAAACGAGTTTAGCAGCCATGATAATCATGTATTATGATCACTTGTACAACTGCTTATGGTCTCGCAGAATTAATACTAGCAGCCCTTTACTCTTTAATGAGCATACCCTGACGACAAGCCCACACACCTGACTTGTAAATCACGGGGGTTTCATATGAAAATCGTCAAAAGCTTGTCCCAAGAAGAAAAAAAAGAGAGAATTGCCTGCATTAACCCGAGTTGCGATGCTACTCCTCCCCACATTTAATACAAATAAAGTTTTTATGGGTTTTATGAATTGTAACGCGGTAATTTTACATGTACATCGCAAGTTGACACTTATCAAAAAAGAGGGTGGAGTGCTGGTACAATTAAATAATTGGTCGATGCCAAGAAATCATTAACAGGCAAACGATTTCTGAGTTTGCAAACGTTTGTTTGTTTGTTTTATAGTAGCTCGGCTAATACATGTTTGTCTTACTAGTAATAACAATCGTGCAAATCATAGACAATCGACGATTCCCCGAATCATGTTTGAACGGTTGTGATAAAACTATAATCCCGGAGGGGTAAAATTTAATATCTTGCATTCTTTTCGCATCTCTAAAAAGAGTTGGAAAGGGAAAGATGAAAGGGAAAAAGGGAAAAGGGAAAAAGGGGATAAAAAGGATCAGTGTGTGAAATCTGCACGATTATCTTCTTTGCCTCCACCACTTAACCAATCTCTCACATGACATTCCCCACACTAGGATATCACATTCAAAATATCACCGGAGATCTTTTATCCAAATTCATAATAAAGCTGAAAAGCCATACACGAAATGATATCACACGTCGTAGTACGCATTGTAAATGACTGGGGCTAGTCTATTGTTTATTTCTTTTTATTGATCATACCACAGTGATGGGTTTATCGTGTGAATATTACGAATTTAATATTAATAGATGAATTCATCGAGCACCCAATATTATTGGTGAACAAAGGCGTCTCCGAACGTGCTTCTCAGATTCAGGGGGGGAAAAGAGAGAGAGACAGTGAACGTACTGCATATATTCGGGGCAGAGGACATGGAAAAATGAGGGGGAAAAGTCGTTTGTCAGTATAAACCTGTTTGAACAAGGAGATTGCATCAAATGCAGTTAGTTGTAACCAAACAAAAAACGTAATAGTCGATTAATATGGTTGCTCAATAGTCAGCTAATTCAAACCATTCGTTGTCTTGCAAAATTGCAGCTTTATTTTGAACACCGTTAATGTAAAGACATTTGGGCTGCGTTAGTCAAAATGAATGTAATAATAACGAATTTCTTTAAAGGTTTGACTACGCATGTGTTGGTGTACGTGGGAAACCTCCCCCCCCCACTCTTTGTCAATAGCATTCCAATCACATATTGTTGCAAGAAGAAAGAACAAACGAAATGTCTGCAAAACTTGCGATTAGAAAAAATTTTAATCAAAAATGAATAACCAAATATCACTCATACAACATAATTTCATTTCTCTCAGAACAAATAAAAACGCTCTTATTTTATTTCTCTCGAAATTCGATATTCGATTTTCGAGTTTCGTATCTCTGTTTTTCTCTCAATGTTTCGATATTGCTTGTAAAAATGTAAAATAAAATGTTAAATATGAATATTTACAACGTTGGCGAAAAAAAAGCATCACTTTTTCAGTGGTGAATATCTTACTTATATGGAGGAGGGATTAATGTCGTAAGCCATAAGGCGAGAAAAAGAATATGTATATATTTACGAAGTAATTCTTAAATAGTAGATGCAACTCATATCATACCGAAAAGATATGAGCCACACTATAAAAAAAACACCTGTACTAAGATAAAGCGCTAGAAAAAAAAAAACAAAACCAAAGTCCTGCACCGAATTCCCCTATTCGTTAATTTAACAAATTTCGAATAAGCATCGCCCCTTTGGAGGAATCGTCTTTGTCTTTTTTCTTATCCCCGTTCCCGCATGATCTCACTTCAACTTTCTTTTTTCCCCAAACGTCTATTTGATCTATATTATTATTTACATTCAACCCGTCGTTATGGAATACGTCACGATTACCCACATCTATATGCGAATTATTCTTCTCCTTTTCTAACCCCAACTGACCGGTCATCGATATCGGTGATGGAGGCGAATTGGATTCGGGAGTTAACGGAGACAAAGCTCCGTCACTGTACGTATCATTAGTAGGAGCAGGAGATGATTTCGATTGTCTTGCCGAATCGGATTGGGCACAATCTGAGGCATCGTCAGCATCGGAAGCATCGGAAGCATCGTCGTCTCCTACGACTGCAGATTGGGGAGAGGAAGCAGCGGTGGATGAGGTCGTTTCACCTGGACGACGTCGTTGTACGCCTCCTCTAGCAAAGACACCATCATGATATGAATGCATGTGTTCTGGGTCTATTGTCCAGTAACCCCCTTTTCCTTTTGAGCTGTTGGTTCCTGGACCTAGTTCTGTGTCTGATCGTGGGACTCGCTTGAAGCATCTGTTCAAGGAGAGATTATGGCGAATCGTGTTCTATTGGTTTTGAAAGAAAAGGGAAAGCGTGTTAGCAGATTAGGCGTATATGTGTGTGCAGTGTGTGTGTGCAGTTTGTGTGTGTGTTTTATCGTCTGTCAATGACTAATTGTCGATACTAACTACAATTCTCTTTGCCAACCTCCCCCCCTCCCTCCATCCAAACAATCTATTCTCTTTTTTTTTTTTACGAGATGAGAAAACCACAATACTTGCCTGCCAACCTGTGTCATCGGGCTTGTACATGGACGGATATTTGTCCATAATCCATTTGTAAATTTCTTTCAATGTCAGTCTCTTCTCTGGCGAACTCAATATCGCCTGGGCAATCAACGAAGAATATGAATAAGGTGGCCTACGGCGTTTCCTGGTAGACTTGCTATTCAGTTCGGGAGTGACAGTCACGAACTGCTCGACCGTGTTCATTGGAGTGCCACCGCGAATAGGGCCGGTAAAACGTAGAGTTGGTCGAGGCTGAAGAGGTTGTTGGGAACGTTGAGTTTGAGTGGGCCGTTGATGAGAATTTGCGTGAGAGTGATGTTGTTGATAGTGTAATGGAGAAGGATATATTAATGGGGGTTGTTGCTGTGATGGTGATATAGACAATGTAGATGGTTGTGTAAATTGCTGGTGATGGGCATAAGGAGCTATGCGTTGTTGAGGAGATATTTGCATGTTTTGAGGCGCCGGTATATGAGAATGAGGAGGGGGAGGAGGGTAGGGAGGAGCCGGATGTATCTGTTGATATGGATACTGAGATGGAGGAGCTCGCGGAGCCATTTCTGCCATCGATTGTTGTTGTGGGGGGAGATGAGATGGATAATTATGAGAATTCACTAGCGTTTGATGGTTAGAATGTACTGAGGTCTGTTGAAAGGCGACGGAAGGGGAAGGTGCTGATGGACTGCTAGGAAAGAAAGAATGACTCCGCGACTGAAAGAAGGTATCAATAGGAGGTAGCTGTTGTCTTGTTGCGGGATACGCATTTTCATGCGACTGAATAAAGGGTGGATGTGAAGGCGGTGGATGCATCTTGGAAATGCGTTGCAGACGTGTTTTGTGTTTTTGTGGAGAGAAGCGAGGAAAATATTAACAATTCGTCGTGATAGTAATGGGAGTGGTCTGGGTGGAGTGTAGAGAGACTACGGTTGACATTTAGAGGAATATATCATAAATCTTCCTTGCTTTCTTGAGTCATAGAACTCAGACTTAAACAAGCGATCGGGAAAGTGAAAGAGTTTGTTAAGGCAGTGAAGGACGATTTGTTCTGGATGTATATATATATAGGATTGGGTAAGGTTTTTGTGTACAAATAATTCAACGTAAATATTAAAGTAAAATATACAAACAATTGCTAATTTATATTGGTTGATTATTGTATGAGTTGCATGTTTTTATATTCATGTTGTTTATTAACATTTATATTATATACAGTGCATTATGAATATAAATATTGCCCTATTATGTGATACTTATTTGTATTCATAAACACCAAATATACTTGTTTACGATTATTAATAAATATGATAATCTTGCAAACATCACCCGTTACGACAGGGATACCTTGACAATACACCCCAGACCCGTTTCCCCCCCCCCCCCCCCTCTAATGCCATCAGCCCTCTAATGTCATCACCCCTCCCCTTTTTTTCTCGAATGGATGATAAATATAGAAGTTAGCTGCGTGATAGGAATGAATATATATATCATATATTATATCATATATATAATGTACTGAATTGAATGAACATCTATATGTTTGTTTGTTTATCTATTATAAATGGTATATACAATTGCCCATTGAGACTCCACAACTGTTTAAAAATAAACACGAATTTAGGCTAGTCAATAGAACAACTAAGAAACAATATTCTACGGCAAAGCAAAGCATGGAATATATACTTAATGTATAATATGTGTGAAACAAATATACCCCATTACAGTCATCTGTTCTTTATCCAACCAAACTAGTCCGAGAAATTGACCTTTTTATAACATCAGTCATTTTCTCTCTCTCTTTTCGTATCATACACAACGCCCACACACACATACACACACACACAAATACACACCCATACATCCAAACACACTAGACTAGACACACACACATACACATACACAAACACCCAAACGCACAAGACACACAAGACACACTAGACACACATATACACATACACATACACATACACAATATACATACACATACACAATATACAATATACAATAGACACACACATACACACATACACATACACAATATACGATAGACACACTCTTACACTTATACACATATACACCATATACACATACACATTAATCCATACACATACACACTCTATCCGATGACTCATTCGCTTTTTTTTTTCTGTTGATAGCTATTGTTTCACTTTTATGCGATACCAGTTTGTTTACTTTAGCTGATCATTTTGCACAACCAACAAACAATATCATAAAAAAATTTTAATGGAAAAGACCGAGCATACAAGGTTTTTCGAGACATGAATATGATATAAATAGTATGGTTGACTTATTGATAATAATAACCAATAGTTATGTGTCTATTATATGTGCCAAGCCCATCGAGTTGAACGTAATGGTATATTCAATCTGTGTCTCTTTACCCGACCAATCGTTGTTTTATTACAACATGTGACTTTTTTGTTTTGTGCAATGTGAATGAAAAGAAGAATATTTAATTTTTTTTCCCGCGGTTTCATATATCGGAAATTCGTGGGAGAAAATATGGAAATGAATTAACATAATAGGTGATAACGAAAACAAGACTAATAAGGATAATAAACATAGCAATGATTGTATTTGTCAGGGAAGAAAAAAAAATTTTTTCTCTACAATAGCCACATCCATATCTATTGCTATTACCATGATTGGGCTTTTGTGAAAGGATGGGGTTTTTAGGAAGAAGATGCCGGTAATATTAACATATCAAGTATTACAATGCTAATCCGGTCAGCTTTTTTGCGACGGGATAAATATAGCAATCGAGTAACAAATTTTTACACAGACGTGCGTGAAAAGAAAGCATGCAAACAAGCGACAAGCAAAAACCCCAAAAGATTTACGTTATCTATCATTCCATCGTTCGTCATTTGTTCCCTTGTTTTCTTGTGACTCGGCATTGTGTCGATCATGTAGAAAACGTGTCGAGCCGTATCAATGTTGTACTACTGTTTGTTATATAGCCGCAACAAAGGGTTTCTCAAGTATGATACGGGAATACGTTAGGTGCTTCGTGATAGGCTTGCTACGAGCAAGAAGAATATAATAACTCGATACACGCCCCGTATTTGTTAGTTATACAATCTCCTCGGAGAACAGCGCTTTCGCACCAACGCGAATGACCATCTAACCCGAAATATCAATGGGCTATTCAACCCACTACATAAGACTGTCTCATTGGCTAAAGATGCTTCAGTGGCGTAATTCAAACATGTATTCCGCAATCTGACACACTATACCACTCCTTTAAAATCTGTATAGTTATAAAGGGTATCGAATTGGAAAAACGCCTCAGAGGGTACACATTCTCTTAATAAAGATACACAAAAGTTTATTGTAAATGTGTAACAAGCAAAAAGAGGCTTACTATATATTACACAGTTTGCGTCGTGAGTATAATTCTTACGCAGTCCAATACATTCGCTCCCTGCCGAATTTTCAAGGCATAATGTAACCGTTTCAAAAAATGCTATGCTTGGTACCTCTTTCCTACATACGTTAATTAGTTATTGTTTGAATGTGTGAATTGGTTATTTTTGTGATTATTATTATTATTCTTATTATTAATTCTTGTTATTATTATCGTTGTCACTGTCCCCAAAATTTTAAACAAACAAACAAAAGTCACGATGTAATCCGTGTGCTGTATGCAATTAATAAGAGTGCAGTTAGTTTGGAATCGTTTGTTTTTACAATTCGTTGGCCACTATACTAAATCTGCTCATCGCACAAGCTATTCCAAATTCTATATAGTGGGAAATCAACTTCTCAGCCATTGACATCATGATGCATTTTCATATCGACGATTCTGGTCATTTCATATTAGTTAACGTTATGTGTTCTGCAATATATCAATCTTATTTTTATTGCCTTTGCCGTCGTCGAGCATATATGGTGTAACTATTTATCGGTTGTGTATTACATGTATTACACATAGCGATAAGTATAAGGTATTACAAAGGTCCAATAATCTTTAGATTTACTGTATTCAGCCTTTCAATGAGTGTCTTGTAAATACAACCAAGTTTGATAATTACAAGTGTTGCATACATACGGTTCTAACCAAGTACATACATCTTTTTATTTGTAAGAGAACTGCGCAGGTGCTTAACAATCTACAAGAACACGGAATTGCGACGCTCTTATCAACTGAGTACCATCAATTAATCATCACAGTAGTACGACATGGAAAGTTTGGAAGAAAACTTGAGAACTTTATTCCTGTTTCTTAACTGGAATGAGTTTCCGTCCTCTCTCTGCATGACGCATACGTGCTACCACTTGTTCGAGTTATGTATCACTACTCCCTTCTCTCACTATGATTCATAGTTTTACGGTAGACACATTCCATCTTTTCCCAACCAAAGAGTTTCCGACAGGTTGAAGCAATAATTTGATTGCTTGTACTTTTCGGAAAAAATAATGACATTATTAACTATGCAGATGGGTCACACATATAATTATATATGTTTTAATAATACTATTTTTTCAAGCAATTGGCTTCATTGAAATCCTTACTCCTTACATGGTATATGCAGACTTTCTATGAAAAAGGTTTTTTATATGGTTTATCAGTAAACTTCAGGGCCTGCCAAAGACTTTTAGTGGAGAGGGGCGTATTGAGATGTAATTAACGTACACCTTGCAGAAAATATACGCGTTTATGTAGTCATTCAATTATTCTGAATTTAGGTAAACAGGGGACAAAGAAACAAAGAAACAAAGAACAAGTATTCAAGAGTGCATCGAGTCTATTGTAAATAATGACACAATAGTATCACGCAAGCAAAGACAAGACAAGGCCAAAACGGTTACGATTACAATTAATGTAATAATAATTATAGTGGCGGTGCCATTCAGAATGCATCAAAAGAACAAGGAACAGAACTCGATATAATCAAGTGGCGGTATTATTAATTCGATTAGTATGTCTTAGCCACGATGACACATATTAAGGTCACCATGACGATATTGACACCAACTCTTGGTCTCTTTGTTACGTCCCCCCATAATACTCTGGGTTCCGATATATAACATTAGTAATAATAGTTATGGTAATTACAAATAATTGATACAAATATACAAAATTACATTAACCGTTGTCCGATACTATAAATTAGTATTAGTGCATCATTGTCTGTATCCACATATTTGTATAACCGTAAATCGCCGTTTATTGATCGGCTTTCATCTTGCCGTATAACGTAGTACTTCGGAATGCTCCCACTGTAAAGTTAAGGTTTTGCGTAATCGCCGAAACTACGGCCATTTGTCGTCGGGACAGACGGGACTTGCATTTGCGAGACGACAACCAAACAAATATGTGTCAGCAATAATCAACAAAAAAGTCTTGTATATTTTTTTTGCCAAGTTTTCAATCTCTTCTTTCCTCTCCACCCCCTCTCCCTGCCCCATTATTCGTCACCCGCCAAACCATCCCAGCTCATGAAATTAAAATGTCATTGGACTTGACAATTTTTTTTTACATGTTGTTTACTTAATATAGGAAGTTGCTCAAGTGGAGATATCAAAACAAAGACTGCCAATAAACGTGCGGGAAATTACACCGATTGTTTATGCAACCGAAGCTTTATGTGAGACAGATTAGAAGATGTACCGGAAAAATCGTGGGAGCCGGGACGCGAAAAAAAAACCCCCCCAATCCCAGTTAGATGGGAGTATTCGGACAAGCAGAGATTATCTATCAGTTATGATAAGGAGAAGGGATCTTATTGATATAAACTTTGGATTTTACCAAATCAATGCGCGTACGACCAGAGATTGATGACATATACCCACGGGATATTAGAAGGTTGACAAAATTTTGATATCAAGGGAAAACCTTAGATACGTAGAATGTTTGTTTATCAATTATGCGAAAACAGATACTCTTGAATAATTTAGTTTTATAACCAATCAAACACAAATCAAACACATCAGACGTACAGTTTAATTATTGATGAGAACGCATACTTTTTCCTACAAAGAAACTTTAATTTGTTACTCGTCCATATTATCCAATTTTAAATAGTCAGCAAATTGTCAAACATTGGACGGCTTTTCCCCCCATCCTTTATGACCACGCCCTCGATATATAAATCTACTCACCCTTAACCTTCTTTCTATTTGCATTTCCGACCCGGGAAGCAGTTTTGTAGCACAACTACATTTTTACATGTGCAATTCGCATTGCACAATTTATTTTAACGAGTCTCTTATCAGGTGCTCATGATTGTCATACGAATGCCTTCTAGGCAATTCGAACAAACAGTGGAAATTGAGGGCATTGACAGTATGGGTAAAGTTAGATATGGTAGATATGAATGTGTCACCTGAAACTTTACCAACAATGTCTGGTATCATTGTTCCCATACTCTGATGTGTGACTGCGTTTTGTAATAATAACGGATGGTGATGATAACGATGATAATAATTATGATTATTATAATAGTGAAACAACAACGATAAGAATAGTAATAAATAACGACAATGACATGACAAGGTCTTGTTACCTTCCAAACCTACTTATCAAACCCATCTATATTTGTTCTATCCCGTCCCAATCCATCGCATCCCTTATCCGTTCCCGATCTGCGTACGTTTTTATACTCGTTAATAACTAATTCGATTGATTTAAACGCTATTCTTGTGTAGATATGTATCAATAATCGTTAATGCTAGGATCAGGATATTAACCGATATTTACCGAACATGCACCAAACAAACGTTTGCGAGAGAAAGAATCAAAAATAAACACGAGGTAAAAAGTAAATACAAATATAAACTATACGGTATATAATTGTTTGGTGCATGCGCACTATACCATATATATACTGTGTCAACAATCTATTGCTCAGCCGTGTGATTTATACCAATAACTATGTGCTATACAATCGCAACCCTTTCTTGTCGTCTAGTACATATCTGTCTGTTTGTCATTGTTTGCCGACATGCAATCAATTTAACAATGAATGAGACAACAAATCATCCAGCATAGAACAAATATTATTAATTAAATAATAGAAATATTTGGTATGTGAACAAAAAAAAAACCATCTCAACCAAGAGTGAGTGAGAGGGGGGGGGGGGGGGCTTTTCCTTGCAGCTTAACGACCCTCCCCACCACTTCCCCCCACATTTTAAATTCGTCGAAAAAAAGACCAGTCAATTTGTTTCAAAACTGGTATTGAGATTTTTGTTGACACCTTGCACAGAGAGAAAATAATGTTTCAAGAGAAAACCTTTTTTTTTTTCGTCCTAATGCGTTTTATTTACTTTCGTTTATTTGTTTACATATTGCGTTAGTAGGGGTCTCTCATATCCATCATCACCCCCCAAATTCCCTAGCATATATGCCCCCATCATAATAATACACAAAAGAAAAACGACACGGCATGTATTATCAATTTTCCATGGTATCGTGCGGCTGCAGTATCACAGTATAGATCAATGGCAGCGCTATTGAATATTATCCACGTTGTCGCCATGCAACAAACCGAACTATTAAAATTAATGACCACTCGTAATTAACGGCTTTTCTCTCTCACTCACTCTCTCGCTCTCTTTTGTCACCGATTTCCCACACTAATTAAAACAATAGTGAAATGTCATATCGGACAAGCTTGTAAGTGGCGGTAAAAGAGGAAACAATAAAGTTATTAAACCAAATGGACGTATACATGTATTCTTGTAATCAAGCTGTGTTCCATTATTAAATGGACTTATTGTTTACTGTTTACATGCCTCTTTGATGGTACCGCTACTCCGTTTTGCTAACTACTCTGTCGTAGAACATGATCTAGCTTCATAATCCTGCATATTATTTGTGTGCTATTCGTGTTCAAATCAAATCACTTTGCAATGAATTGACGAGATTGGCAAATAAGGGCAATGATAATCCTCATGCTATAGAGCCATGTTTTCCGTGGTTTTGCAAGGGTTGTACCAATCCATTATATCACCTCTCAGCGATTTGGTTAAATTAATTGCGTTCTTGGCACTGCTTTTTTCTCCCACGAGTAATTTTTATGACAAATTTTTCTCAAGGATTTTTAAAAGCCTATGAAACGTTTTACATGTCCGAGCCTGTTCGGTTCTTTTCGTAAAATTTCCTGAAAAGCGGCAAGATTTTACATTAAAGACAGTTTGGTTGTCATACCTTATAAGTGTAGTACATATTGTAAGGTTTTTGCTAATCAATCATCGGAAGTTCCATGTTTGTCTTTCCTCATCAACAGGATGATTAAAATATCTAAATATGCATAACCCTTACCCTTACATGTTGATCTCGGAAAGTTTTTCCTAAAACTGAATACAAATTTTACTTTCAACTTGACACAAAATTTGACAATTAATTTTTATTTTAACTTAATTATCTCGACTCGTTACTCCAAATAATCGACGCGGAAAGCTCCAGATATTACACTGATAAAAAATTATTTTTCTTCTTTTAGACCACAAGCTAGCTGAGAATTCCTTTACGAGTTGGGTTATGATTGTAATTGTCGTTCCGTTATAGAAAATAAAATCCAAATCAGAGTAGTAATACAATAGTACCACGATGCTTGTAATAGCTAATTAATACCCTTGTAAAACGAGTCATTATGCTCGAGAACAAAGAACTAAACTTATTTAAATTTAATTGACCGAGTACAGGCACAAAATCAAATGTCAGCCAAAGAGTGTCCTTTTCTATGTGCAGTAATTGAGCAATTTTACACAGCTTTTGATGGTCATTCTGAACAAGGATTACTAATTTAATCCTTTCTCTAATCCTATTTTGTTCATGATGTAACGGCTGTAACCGAACCGCTTTTTACTTTGTGGCTTATAGGGCTGCCCTGCTTTATCAAAGAACTTTTTTTTTACTAGTGTATAGCAAGAACTAGTTGGTATTACAGAAGGAAAAGAAAAGAAGGAAATTAAAATAGCAACTTTATTACTAAAGGAAACATTAATTGTGCGTAGTATTGTATATAATAATACAATTAAATCATTAAAGTTTATGTGCAAGATCAATACTTACACAATACCCTTATAGTATACCAAACTGCTCTGTGTGAACGCCAAAAATAACTTCAATGACAATATTTTAGTGACCTGGTACAACTTATTGTCATAAAAACCCCTCCACAATGTGTTTATTTTTTAATTTGCCCCTGATTGTTGCGTTGGGATTGTGGGTCTGTTTGGATAAGGGGAAAAACTATTTTTTTTAAAAGAATCTTTAAACAAGTACCTTTTCCTAATCAAGATGTTGCGTAGGAAATATTGTTGTAGAAAGATGTTCTAAATTCCATCAAAAGTATCAGCTGACAAACTTGTGAAACAACCAAGCCTCAGAAACAATATGCGATAAGGTGCTGCACCGCAATTATATATTTTGTGATAAAGAGTGAATAAGTGACTGGGCGTTGACTTGTGTCTCCAGAGCACGAAAGTTTATCTGACATTGTTATTAAAACCAAGATCTTTAATTGCTTTGTGCTGTTTGCGCATTAGTAATTGAACATTCAATTCGCAATTCTCTTTCTCTTTATCGTTATCTGAGTGTATAACACGTGACTATTGATATGACAATATCATACCAAAATGCTAGCCTATTACATCATAGTACTACCATAAGAGATAAGATGAAAGTATCGTATAAATAAAATGTACATAAAAAATTTTTTCAATGACAGTTAATAAACCTTAACTTGCCGGGGGTGGGGGAATAGTCCAATAAGAAGATGCGATTTGCATTTGTAATTCCGGAAGAAAAAAAAAAGTTGTGCCAAGCCGTGCTGGCTACCAGTGGACTAGGCATGCATTCTACAACAGGCAAATACTAATTAGTTGCGTAAGTTATTTGTTTGTTTATTCTATCCACTTACGTACAGCGTTCATTCAATACGATCGTGTTTACGTTATGTGTCAAAGATTGAAAGCTGCGAAATACGTATTTATTGATCAATTGGATAGACCGAATTTTAATGGAATTACAATTATCGCTTGTTGATTATTAATTCAAATTATAAAAAAAGAGTACTGACTAGAACACTAGCGGTCACCAGTAGGACCGTCTTCTTATTCCCAAGGTTATTTTGTATAACCGAGTCTGTTAGGTATGACTATTAATTATTATGGTCAGTAACCATAATTAGAATTGTGACTAAATAGATATCATATTAGAACAACACAGGGATTGGTGAACCTAATTATGGGGAACAAAACCGTTCCAGAACAATAACAGATGAAAAGTAAAGACAACACCTGACCCATGTCGACAAAGACAACTCTAGTAAGAGTAACATTCCATCCTCCCCCTCCCCCCCCCCCATCACTTCAATCACAATCGTTTTTATTATTACTCTTGTGACAAACGGCCTTTTTCTTTTATATATCACCTTGCGCACTCGTATCACAGATAAACCCCCTCCACTCTACCACCCCAAAGCACACCCGTCTCCCCTAAAATCGCTCCCGGCTGCCCATAATCTATCCCCCTTTCTATTCTTAATCAATTGCACCACTTGGCCTCTGCCAAACATAGCTCTTTCCCATCCTGTAATCACCTTTACCCGATGACCCAGTTCACGCAACTTGCTTCCAGCTTCTTCGTCTATAGATTCTTCGACGCACACGCAGTATGATTGCTCATCTGCTTTGTCGTTTCCAGGAGCAAGGCGAATACGTGGTGCGTCGAGCGCTATCTGTGGACTGAAACCAAATTCGAGCAGGTTTAGGAATACTTGTACGTGGCCTTGTGGCTAGAAAGATGGAGAAATTGTAAAGGGACAAAAGAAATCAAAGTGACATCTCAGAGTGAGTATAGTCGGATCAAATTAATGTAACAAGACAATTATATTGTGAAAAAAATTTTTTTGTCCATATCAATAAGTCAATGAATGGAACTCATTGTGATCATTTACTCCTGATCATAATGCAGCTCATAATTACCTGCATATCTCCACCCATAACTATTCCAGAATTTGACATAAATCAAAAGTAAATATTTGCTCAAATGCAATGTCCCCTAACACCTAATACTAACGGGTAAATATGTAACAAAACCCGACAATCTTTCCATTTACCTCCAAAGCAAACCCATAGTTCATCATGCTTGGTGACCAAAGATGGAATAATCGTATGGTATGGTCGTTTGCTTGGAGCAACACAGTTAGGATGGCCTTCCTGCAAGACAAAACCTGACCCACGGCATTGGAGTGAGAAGCCGCAGTCTTTCGGAACTGCTGCCTGTTGATAAGAGACGGGGAAGAGTAAGGAAAGAAGATACCGGGACGCATAAAAAATGAGTAACAAGTTAAAAGTTAATAATGTTTTGTCCCAATATGGTTATTATTATAAATTGCATTACGTCATTAACTACTGTTCCTTGTTATTTCGATTGTACAAATCGACCACATGATATACGCTAGTCTTGCCATCAGTCAACAGTATTCTCGCTACTCAACTTACCGAGCCAAATCCATAGTAATTCGAAATCTATCGGTCATTACCGAGGAAACAACGAGGTTAAATCGTCACCGAATAATCGAACAAGTAGAAAGCAATGCATACAAAAAAAAAACAGAAAAAAAAAACAATCAAACTGTCAATCATTTTAGTTAAACAGGCAGACAAGACCCCATTCCATCCACACATCTAAATACGTTGCCCTTATTCCCTTTGTTTACTTACGATAAAGCTACATGCGTTCCCATAATCATCAACAACAGAAAAATAAACAGTGTCACTCCCAATCGATGGTGAGCCCTTTTCTATATATGATGCCTTCTCTGGATCGAACACCTCGGCTCTCTTCGCGAGATAATGCTACACAAATTTTGTAATCGACAATAGCATACGTGAAAGACGATTGACGAATTTAATGAGGATAAATATGGACAAATAAGGATTAATCCCTTTTCCGATATCGCAAAAAAAAGATTAAGAGTTACATGATGACATCGACTATGAGCATAACAGGATAACAAAAACTCGTTGATAAAGTGATATCTTTCTATTATCACCCATCATTGTAAACCCCCCACGTGAATCTTACCCCTCAAAAAAGCGCTGTCCCTGATTTTAATCAAATCCCCAGAATCAATAGTCCCACTACACACCCCCCATCACCCCCTAGTTCATCACGACCCACTTACCTCACTTAGCAATTCTTCAACCGGCACATGCACAACTTCGGGATCACTCACATAATATCTAGTGTCGGCAAATGCTAGCCGTAGACTTTCGATTATAGCGTGAAGGTATTCTCCCGAGTTATGCCTCATTTCAGTAAGAGGTGGAATCTTTCCTTTGGATTGGAGTTCAGAGAGAATGCCAAGAGCCATGAGAGCAGTAAGACCTTTAACAGAAAAGAAAAAACTCCCATCGAGTTATTGATAATATTTTCGATTGGAAAACCAAAAACATATACAAGTACTGCGATAAATAACAAGACGTCATAATAAAATAACATTTCGTTACGTTCGCTCAATGCCGCGCAATATTTCTTTCTATATTTTTACCAAGATACATGGTGGAATACTACCACAAAAATCGACCTTTTTTTTTTCCTTCTCACTAACCTTGGCCGTTCGGAGGACACTCCCACACTCTGACGCCTTTATAATCAATGCTAATGGGCTCAACTCGTGTTGAGGTATGCGCTGCAAGATCCTCTAACGTCATGACACCGCCTTTAGACTGGATTAGTTCGACTATAGCTTCAGCTATTCGGCCTACAAGCGAAAAAGACACGAGTATTATAAGAGAAATAGTCATTCCCTAACAGGTTTTTTTTTCTAACGTTTGTCTATTGATATTACTCTTTCAAAGTGCGCAACCTACACTTTGACAAACTTGATTCTTATTGCGCATTATACGCTCTTGTATTATTGGTCAACATGATGTTTTATATTCCAGAAGAGATGATAATGTAAGCGAACATTTAGGAAATTGAATGAAACGTACCTTTGTAAAACCCGTCTTTTCCCTTCTCGGCGAGCTCGCGAAAAGTCCTAAAAAAGTTAAATCGTTCGAGCGCCTTTCTCTATCTTATGTAATCTATTCGCCGAGAAAAAAAGAAAAAAGAACCATCGCATTTCACACCAACCTCGCCAATTTGGGCATCCGCATGATTTCTCCAGTACGAGGAGCACGTCCGTCAAGAAGCATGTCGACTCCGTGAGCAGAACATGTGCGCAAAAGATGTTCGTTTTCTTGCCACTAAAGAGTCGTTTAAGGGAGCAGAAGCAAGATATTGATTGAACTATGGCAATACAAGTTTGAATAGCATGACCTTTCTCATACGTTTTTGTTTTAATAATCCTTCTTACCATCTTGGCACTAATCTCTGCGACTCCAAACCCATGTTCCGCCAGCTCAATCGCCGGACGTAATGCATCTGCCAAACTCACCCGCCCGCTTCCGAACCATTCGATCGTATCCACCCAACCCGCAGCCGCACCCGGAACAGTTACCGCATTAATGTTGGTGAATGGTATGTGACAAGCTTTTTGATCAGAAATGGACTTTCGGACGTGGGATAGCGTTAGATTCTTGGGAGATCTTGATGAAAAACAGGAAAGGTTTTAATGTATTGTTAGGTAATCTTGGTGTTTATCAAAATATGCCAAACATTAGAATGAGCAAATCCCCCATCGAGAAAAAAAATCCTTGTCTATCTTTGTTAAAGCGAAGGCTTGAATATTCATGTGCAATTAATCCATATCAAGTTATTACATAATTTCTACCTTCCCGATCCGTTTAGTGCATTGACACGTTTTGTTGTTGCATCATAATACAAACAAAAGCAATCGCCCCCAATTCCGGTGGACGCAGGTTCTGATTAAAGAAAGAAATCAAAATTTAATTAATAATCCCAATGTCATAACATGAGTGGTATTCAGCTCACCAGTCACATTTAATGCAGCAGCTTTGTGTTCCCAAAGTAAAACGGTGCAAGTCAGATACGAAAACGCCAGTTAATAGCAATTAATTTATTTTCTTTGTTCTCGCTCACCCACTGCAACGGCTGCATCCTGTAAAACGAAACGTGTACAAGTTAATTTTTCATGTAAAAGCGTACAGAATTTAAAGTTCATCAATCATCCTTGGTAAGATGGAGTTGGTGTAAAACTATAATTACTGTTACACCACATTATTTTTGTTGCCTATAATGCTCACCGCAGCGTTTCCGCCTTGCTTCAGTATCTCCAGACCGGCTTGACATGCCAACTGCTGACTATTGGTTGCAATTTTTAGAATTGATGGACAGTTTTACGGTTAAAAAAGGTGATATGGACAATAGCAAATTGGCATTGTAACGTAACAGTTATTAAAATGGTTATTGTCATTGTTAGGTCCGTGCGGATAGATTCGGCATCTCCTAATTGAAGTGCGGAATAACTGAACACATGACCCCCTTGCACGACAAATAGTAAGAGGAGGAAGAAGAAAAAAAAAGCAAAAAAAAAAAAAAGAGAAGACGAAAACCGAGCAAAATTTAAACATATCGTCCTTCGCCAATTACCTACTGGCAACCACATAATGGGTTCCAAAGACGACCGACCTCCTGCTTGGAAACCTCATAAATTCACAAGTTTTCGACATGCTATGACAATTGTGTAATGCACTTATCGATGTAATCTATGATGATTTTTTTCCTTTTTTATGACTTTACTCCTTACAGAATGTGCAGCATAATTTGTACACAGCAAAGCATTCATTTTTATATTATTACCCAAGTTGTACAATTTTACGGGGATAATTATCTACAGATCTATTATTAAGCGATGACAAATACGTCAAAAACTGCAACACTATGTCATTGTTGAGGTTATCACGTCATTATCAGGCGACTGATGTGGGGAGAAAATTGTTGGAGAAATTGGGTATGTTAAACGTAAATATTAATATCGCCTAATTCGCTCACCTTATGATTTAATACAATATACATAGGTTTCAATCATATGACAAAGAAACGTAATGCAATTTATTTATGCTAAAGTTTGTGATGTGTCAAGTATTTTCAATTACTTTGAGAATTGAAACAGACACCCAAAGCAATTATTTAATAACAATCGTTTCTCGTAATGCGTGGGCTGTGATGTTAATATCAATATTACTTTACAGGAACACATGTGAGATGGCCTTGGGAATTACAAAGTTGAAAATAAAAACAATTCGAAATACGTTTATTAGAGCGAGAACCAATAGAATTATGGCGTCATATTAAAGCAAGGATGGAGTGAGCGTACCATGAAATGGAGTGGTTAAGCGCAATTTGTTAGAAACCATTGTATGCAGTATCATATCTGCGTGGAGTGCAAATTAATCTCTCTCCCGGTCAGATAGAAACTATCGTCTAATTTCATTGAGAAGGATAGGATCACACAATCATTGAATTGAACTCGTTCAGTGTGACTTCCCAGCACATTGTTTAATTGATATTAGTTGTATTACACCTTATTCAATGTACAGGAAATTAAGCGACTTTTTTTATTCTTCTGCAAGGTCTACTTCTACCTGTATATCAAGGGTGTGTGAAATAAGAAAAGAAAAACAAAAAAGAGCAAGAAATTTAAATCTATCTATTCTGTATTAGGGGATCTATACAATTACCGACATCTGTCTACAAAAAAAAGTTCTTCAAGCAAAACAATATTTATCGCAAACTGTATGCTATCTATATAAACGAAAGACTTCAAGCCCTTCGCTAGGAAATAATACTTAATTTTTTTCGAGATAATAGTGGTAAAAGGGGGAAAAAAAAAAAACTACAAATTACTTTCCTCTTCTCAAAAGCAATCGAGCAGACCGCCTCGGATTTCCAATCTCTCTCTTTTCGCTCTCAATCATCGTAACTTTTTTAACAACTTTAAACTGTTCTTTCAACAGCCCGATGGCTTTCCTTTTACGCCCACGACCATTATAACGTTTTACTTCCCCATCACTAGACTTCGCATCTGTCTCTTCATCAGATTGCACACAGCTCCCAATCGGATTGCTGTTTGCCATTCCCATACAACTTTTCACACATCTCTTTTCACTCAGATACATGATGTTTCTATTCTCTTCAATCTCCACAATCACTCGACCCATTTCACTACAAGACTCGGTATCCGATAACTCGCTATCGGATACATCAGACAACTCACTGAGACTAGAAGTGTCAGTTAATCTGCTCATAACTTCAACGTTCACTCTGACTTCAAGCTTACGCTCGTCATCTTCTGACATTATAGTCTTGGCGTCTGATAAATCGTCAGTTTCAACAGTATCCACCGAATCATAAACGGAACTGCTCGAACAAGCGTTTTCACTCTCGTCATCCTGCACTCGCACGCGCATTGATTTCTTGTGGAATCTCTTTCTATTTCCACTATTTAACTTCAGCGCTTCGAAACGTCCTTTTTTCATATCACTATTGATCCCCTTCTTCCTTCTCGCATTCAATATGCTTCTCACACCAAGTCTTTCCTTTCTTCTTCTTCCGCCTTTCATCTCCCGTTCCTTTCTTCGCTCATTCAGCTTTTTCATACGCGTACTTTCTTTCTTCTCCAACTCCTTCTCAACCAAGGCAACCCATTCATCACTTGTTCCTACGACTTCGTAATCGATAATCCCATCCCATTCTTTTTTCGCGACATCAGTGGCATTGACGAGAATAACTTTTCCATTTCGGGCGTGAACCGCTCTGGCGAACCGTCTTATTAATGCTTTGACTCCAGGTATTCGGAGAGATGTGCCGAGAATTATCAAGCAGTCGAGGCGTTCTTCATCTTTTGCTGCAAGCTGGCCTATTTGTATGCCTAATGGATGTGAATCACCGTAAAGGAGGATACTGGGTTTAAGGAGACCCACGGCGTGTCGTCGTTTGCCTTGTTTTCGTCGAGTTTCTTCTGGTAAAGTTAATAATATTGGTAGTTGGTAAGCAAAATGTGTGATTATTATACATCCAATCGTAAGTTTCCCTAACATTAACATTTTACCATTTCAACTCATCGTTCGCTTACCTCTTGCTTCACAGGCAGGACAGCTAGGCGCTCCACCCTGCTTATAAACTTCGCAATATTCTTCCGTAAACGGGAAACTCTCTGTGCAATAAGTACACTTTACCATTTGCATGGTCCCATGCAACTGCACTACCTTTGCACACTTTGAATTGACCATCCATTTGACGTTTAATCCTACGCACTCTTCTAAATTGTCGATGTTCTGGGTATAAACTCGGACGAGTTTTCCTACGTCATGAAGTTTTTTCATAAAGAGGTGTGTCGCTGTCGGATGAGCGTTTAGTATAAACTCTTTTAAGAGACCCATGAACTCGTAGAAACCACGACGAGAGGTGTCTGAATGGAGGAGATTGGCGTCAAAGAGGTCTTTGCCTTTGGAAAATGTGCCTGGGTATTTAGAAGCAATTAGATTGTAGAGCCCATCAGACGAGCGAAAGTCCTACATGGTCAAGGAGTAAAAAATTAATGTCAACGTATGGTTATTTGAATATAAATACGAGAGGTTATATACATTCGGTCATGACATGGGGAAGTAAGTAGTCAAGTGATGTGGAAAGCAGACATTGCTTCTTTCCAAACATGAAAGTCATCACACTGGGGACTATACGATGTCCATGTTATATATTATATACTCACAGGTATACCACCACTACATGAAATTCCCGCTCCCGTTATAAGAACACACTTTTTGGCGCGTTTAACGTGTCTTACGGCTTCTATTAGCTTTGGGTGGTTCTTCTCACATAATTTAATTTTTACACAAGGCATATTTTCATCCATGGATATTTCTATTATATTTTGGTATTTACAAAGGATGTAGTCTAATATCCTCCCTGGACAAGATAAAGCTTCTCTAAGAGGAAAAGGACGAGTTAACTGCACCAAAGTTTCCAGTGTAACACTGAACACAAGTACCCTAACGGATACCAGAAGTTTCTTGATAACTAGGGAGGATTTGAAAGCGAGAAAAGTCAAATGGGGCGGGAACGGGGAACTATAGTTCAACTATATGTAGATGCGTCATCGGGTATTTATAATTCTCATTGAAGGTAGAGCAGATGCGTGGGTAATAATTGGATTGAGAATGTTTTAAGTTATGGGACTGGGGGGTTGGTCAATGAATGAATTAGATTGAGTGTGAGGAAAGGTTGGCAGTTGTTGACGTCGGGTTAATAATTCTGCTCCCGATATCGATGATCACAAAAAAGTAATTTTTTACTTGACGGTGATTAATATGTGATTCGCTTCTATATATAGAACATGTATGACGATAATGGATAATGGTCGGATATATTGATAGATTGGGTAAATTATGGAGTATTACGAACAGGTTGGAAGTATTACGAACAGGTTGGAAGTATTACGAACATGTTGGACGGGTGGAACAGTTGGGGATTGGATGGATTAACGAGCAAATCATGTATGACCTTGATGACCTGTGATGACCTGGATGATAAGTTTTATTTATTCGATTGAAAGCAATGCTTTCGCAATATTAACTAGATTCAGTCAAACAAGAGAGGCCTCGTATTGTTGTGTTCAAGAACCGATATCCGTTAGAAAAAAGAAGAAGAAAGAAAAAAAAAAGATCGCAAAATTGCCTCTCTAATATTTCGCAAATTGATAGGGATCATACACCTCTTTATCACATCACCTTCTCTATATTAAGTAAGAGAAAAGGAAAAAGAAAATGGAAGGAAAAAAAGAAAATAATAAAAAGAAAAAAGATAAAAAGGAGGAAAAATAATTTTTTTTTCTAACCAAAATCCTCCCGTCTTCAACTTTGTCTCATACGCTATTACCTATTCTATGCTCTCTTCACCTTGCAAGTCATTAAGAATCAGTAGTTCTATATCACACCTTATTCTCTGATTACCCTTCTCTCTTACTTTTCATCCCTCTTATTCACTCTCTTCTCTACATTTTACTTCACCCCTCCTTTCCAACCCCTCTCTCCACAACTCTCTCACCCAATCTATCCATCTATTTCATCTTCCTCCAATCGACTATAAAATAACTAATTACTCGATTTTGACGCCATTATCCCCATTCGCCATTGGTACATCCGCATTGCCATTATTTACATTTGTTTGCGAATCTCCCATATTTCCGGCTAACCCGTTGTCATCCTCTTTCTTTTTACTTTCCATGTCGGCGATCTCTGCTGCAGTCAGGAAACGCCCACCTGGACCACGTGGTCGACGCATGGCATGCTTATGCCGAGATTCGTGAAGGTATTTCTAATATTCAAGTATTACAAGAAAAACATAAAATAAAAAAGATAAGGAATAACTCTGCCGAACGAAGAAAACGAAGAGAGAAAAAAAAAAAGTCTCCAAGTCTGTTGACTGCTTAACTGCTCACCTTCCTGCCTCGCGATATTTTATTTTCAGCTTCCAATTTCGCTCTAGCTTGCCTTCGTTTTAGAATTCGATGATACTAGCATAATCATACCAAAACGAGTTCTCTCAGAACACAGAACAAATCGATCCTTCATTACTCTCGCATATTAGTAACACAGTTTTCTATTTTTACCTGTTTGGCATTGACATATAATGGCTCTTCGTGCTCGTCCATTCCCGTTGGTGGTGCAGGTTGACCTGCCTGTGAAGCAGGAGCACCTGCTGTACCTGGTGTGATGACAAATGGATGACTCCCTGGAGGGATAATCTGGGGGGAGGGATACGTACTTTACATTTAGTACGATAGCAAGACAGAAAGCGACATAATAGGAAATAACTAATGAAATCTACTCACCAGATTATATGCTTGACTATACGCAAAAGTGGCCGGAGATCCTTTCGTTGGATCGGCTTGAAGAGCCTAAATATTCCATCTATGTGAGTGCAATCATATTTGTACAATAAACCAATTACGCAGACTATTATTCCACACTATCTAACCAACGCAAGAAGTTCTCTACTCACCGGGTCAACGACAACAGTAGTGGTAGGATGAGCTATTCCGGGAAACGATGCTAACTCATAGTGCGGATGATGCTGTTGTTGCTGTGAAGGTTGCTGCCCGTCATTAGGCGGCTCTTGAGCATTCTGCTGTGGTTGTGGTTGCGGCTGTGATTGTTGTTGTTGTTGTTGCTGCTGTTGCTGTTGTTGTTGTTGTTGTTGTTCTTGTGAAGTCTGTCCGTTGACTCTTGTAGGGTTCTGTTGTTCGCTGTTTTGCTCAGCTTGCTGCTTCTTTGCGTCCATACTTACTTGTGCACTTCTCAAATGAATAGGTTAATATTGTACTAAAGGAAATATCTTGTAAATAAGGCATTATTAATGTAGTTGTCAGCGTGAGATGTTATGTTGGCGAAGAGGAGGGACTTTTCTTCGAAGTCAGTTTACCTATCTCCTCGTGTGGTATTGGTGGTTTCTAGTCCAATAAGAAGTTGGGTAAGCAAACGAGAATGAGTGGTGGATGTGGAAGTCGTCAACAATCGATAGCGCAATGATTTGCTGGATCCTTTTATTGATATCACCCTCTGGATGTTATTTCACTTTGTCCTACATATCGATAGATGATAAGGCAATACACCCATAACGATATGCTCTAAATTAGTACACAGGTATATGTGTGTTCATCACGTGAATAACATATAGAATATATTAATATATTTGTTAATTAATTATATACGATTACACATAATAGTAAACCAAGACAATAATAACAAAGTCTATATTAATATGACTTGTGAGAATTTAACCAATCACTTAATTTCAAAGCTTGTTATTTATATTTCAGAAGCTTATATATATGTTAACACCCAGCATACTATACCATATCATACCATACCTTATCCCCCCACAGCCTCTCATTTCCGATAACTGATAGTTCAATTGTCGTGTTACATATCCGCCAAATAGCCAGCAGATCGTTGTAATATCCGATGCATTCTCCACCAATAGATTCCAACCTCAGACGTACTGCTTTGCATTGTTATGTAAGGGGTCGAGGATGTTGGGGTGTGAGTGAGTCAATGTTAGGGATTAAAAAGACGAGAAGGATGGCTTTGGTTATCGACGGTTCGATCGATATATGTGCCCTCGAGATCACACGACAAGTCCAATACTCGTCCTGCTTTGAAACGAATGTGCTGGATGTTGCATTTTTCGTATAATGCAGTTATTTATAATTAAATAAAAAATAGCAAAGGATTTGACTGTTTGACTAACTACATTGGATTAGAAGGGGGGAACAAGCGGCAGAAACCTTCTGCCAGGAAATGAAATACAACGTGTGATTGGAAATACATACAGGAAGTAACGAAAATCGTAATAACAATAATAAACTTGCATTCATTTACTCATCTATTGTCCAACATTTCATCGATTATCATTACGACACCACGCAAATCATTCAATAATGTATATTTTACGCTTACGGACACAATAACAAATACCAGCGGACAAATCATGTCCTGAAAGCTTACAAACGAGTAGGACAAGAATGTTCCATCAACATTATTTCAGCATATGAAGCTACACCTCCCCCCCTCTTCTTCAGCTTCTTCAAGAAAGAACAATTCGTCTAGGAAAGGATCCGTTCAGTTGCAGTACTCCAAAAATAGGTCAATCTGAACTTGATACTGTGTGATTGTGGGTGATAAAGATGATATTATGAATTTGAAACTTAATGCGCACGGTTCCTTACTTGAAGCAAAGGCATTGCAAAACAATTTCTTTATAAAGGACTATCCTCAACTCTAATTTCGATTTATCAATTGGTTGTTATCAATTACCATCGAGCTTTGTGGTTCTGCAGTATCATGGCCAACTTTAAACGTGTGTAACATTGGGATAATATCTAATTATCGCTTCCTATGATAGACAACTCGAAGTATTCTAGCATCAACAAGTTATCGAAAAGCACAAGATTCCACACAGTCTAGCCGTCAAGGCATCATCACCTCATTCATCCTCTTCATTTCTATCACTAGCATTAGATCAAACCGCATGGTCCAGGCTAAATAATATGGCTTATTACAGATCCGACGTTAAGTGCTACATTTCATTGAAATCATGTATGCGCAATTGATTAAACGCATTTTGCGAAGCAGAGATTATAGTTGTACGGTCGGGTTGGTCTAGGCCTCTATTATGGGTTTTTACTACTGGATGACGTTCACATAAGTAAAGGCGCCGTACAACCTAAAACGCTCGTGTATAAATCGCGTAGTACATTTATCATTGGTTCTAGGTTTATTACCTCCGCAGTGCACAAACGAGCATTTCCATTGACATCGAAATGAAATCACATATCTCACGCAGACTTTACAGCTTCTGCGCATACTGCTTACCATCATTCGTCAATCGAGACAGATTTGCGTGTGCAACGCACATTGTATGTGAAAAACTTTTGTCTCTGACGCTGTAGTTATTGTCGTGACAAGAACTGTGAAAGTAAATCAGATAAGTTGTAAAATGACAGCTATTAATAATTGTGACGGATTAAAACGAAATTTCTTCTATTTTGAAAATTATAAAATTTTTTGGGGGATAATTTTTTGGGAATTTGGGGTAGGATTTAGGATACCATTTGTTAGTAAAAGAGTATATGTGGGTTTCAAGGCACTAAACCCAAAAGACCCCAAATTTCGTTTTAATCCGATTTCGTTTTAATCCGCCACAATAATTAAACACAAATTATTCTCTCTATAATGTATGTAAACGTGCTATCAATAAAATATAACAATATATCTGGAGCTCTTTTTCTAGTTCTTGCTAAGGTACCCAGATGCATTGGTTTATTATTATTACATTTAAAAAGCAATATTTATTTGAGTAACCTTTTTTTTTGCTAGTTTTACTTTCTGAAAGCACCAAAATATTCGATTGAGTTTA